CAATTACCGATTTCTGATTTATTTACTTAAAAGTTTCAAGTACTTTTCTCTTAAACGAAGTAACAGGGATCGCAAAAATGTCAATTTCATTAAATTTGTCGTTGTTGTGTAGCGGTGGACTGTACTTAATTAAATGGGAATAATGAAAGAAAACGACACGTAGCAGTGAATAAAATATAATACATGTTCACAATATAAAATAAATACGATACAAGCAGTAACAGTTACAAGAAAATAACAACGCTCTAACAACAAAAAGCAATCTCAAAAGGTGACGTACAAAAGTATAAAGGGTTTAAAAATACATAATAATATCAAAAGAGTTTAGTAGCCACAGCCCCTCGCTAACAGTCATTGTCATCAGCTTATTAATATATTAATGAATATTGGCAGTGTAAAAATTAAACTTAAAATAGTTAAAGATTCGTCTGTTTATCTGTCTGTCAATATCCTTTATCTCAAAGGTATCGGGTACGCGTATTGTAACATGGCATATAATTACTTAGAGATTAATTATGAACAACTATATAATTGAACGTCATATGTGTGCAATATAGAATTCCTATAATCTATACTTATAATAAATCTGTAGAGATGTCAATTCTGTACATGAAATATATTTTTAAAATAACTATCAGGGGGTGATTAGTGATCGATACTGATGCCAAAAATGCAATCAGTAAATTTTTTGTCTGTCTGTCTGTGTGTATGTTCCTTATAGAAACAAAAACTACTCGATGGATTTTAACGAAACTTGGTACAATTATTCTTCATACTCCTGGGCAGGTTATAGTATACTTTTCATCACGCTACAATCAATAGCAGCAGAGTAGTGAAGGGAATTGTTGGGAAAACGGGAGAAGTTACTCCATTTTTTAAGCTTCCGTCGCGTGTGCAGCCTTAATGGTTAAAGTTACATAGAAATCATGTATGACGGAAATATTCTACATAAAATTGTCTAAAAAATATTTCGCAACAGCATATGTCTAGCTTTTATGGTTGACTCATAATAACACGTGTAATTATATAAATAAAGTCATTGTTTATAGCACAAGCGGGCCGCGGGCAGGTACCAAAGAGTAGTTATTATTTATTAGTAATAAATAATAACTACTCTTTGGTACCTGTTTGGAATATAAGAGAAAAACCAACGCAATGGATTACCGCGTATGCCATGTTAAGTATTTTTTTTCAGCAACAAGGCATGGCCAACCTTATTAAAGGCTTCTTTATTTTAAAAACTCATTGTTTTAAGCAGCTCTTCAACTTTACATGTCAAGGCGCCTTTAAGGTGACAAGAAGAATGGGCGCAAGAAACTAATCTGGAATCTAAAGCTTTTACTTTAAGCATTAAAATACATCGTCAATATACTGCAATTTTAAATATTTTATGTATTGGTTTCTTAGGTTTTCACGCACATCACTCATTAAGTTTTTGAAGACGCAGTCCTGCAAAGGCTGTGCAACGTCAGATAAATAAATTCAGTGCATAAAACCTGTAAAAAATTTTTTTTTTTTATGTTTAATTCCTTAATAAATATACATGTCATACATAAAATACAATTCAAATACAGGTAAAATCAATTAATTTCCATTACAAATATGTCAATTACGATTTCAAAAAAAATTGACAATACACATTTTTCTATTTATTAAGGACCCCTCAGCGAGTAAAGGCCTCCTCCATTTTATTCCAATTTTTTCTATCTTTGGCTTTATTGATCCAGTATCTACCAGCCACGTCGTTAATTTCATCTATACATCTTTGTTTTGGTCTACCTCTATTTCTTTTGTGTCGAAGTCCTTTCCAAGTAGTCACTTTATAAGTCCATTTTATATGTCCAGCCCATCTCCATTTAAGTTTTAACAGTAGTCCAAAGCATCAATAACATTTGTTGTTTTTCTAATATCATTATTTCTTATTCTGTCTTGTATTTTATGAATAATTATAGTTATTTAGTGAAGCACTTGCTTATGTTTGGAATTGACCATTTTTCTTATTTTCTCATAAATAATAATAAAAGCTCGTAACTATCAATATTGACTTCAATATATGAAATTTTTGCATTATTTTATAGTATAAAATCTGAATTATGAAATGCTAACCATCTGTCAACATCAACACGGCACGCATGTGTTTAATGAAAGTACAACGAAGTAATTTATTATCAACCAATATAATAAATTTATGGAACGGGTTTAAAGAGTGATTTATAGCTTGTTTGTTTAAAAACTAATATGTTAAATGATTATTGTCCATGAAAATGTTAGATATAAATATGTGAGTAAATACAAAAGTTGTAAATCTCAACACTCAATATTAATTGCAACTTTAATGTTCAGAAAGATGTTGTTTTAAGATAGTAAAAGTATATTGATGGACCCTGCTGGGTATAGCAACTTAAGGAGAAAAGAAGAGAAGGTGTCTCATTTTTTAATTACTTACAATTATGCCATTGAATTTTTTCGATAGTAGTAATTAATTTTCCTAAAAGTTGCGCTAAACCGTTTCCCCCCTTAAAACGTTGAGAATCGTGACGGCGCATTCGCATTTTCTGAGATTTTTGAAGTGAACACTTCTTTAGCACCGTTGTGATTTGAAAATCGATGAAACGAAAAAGCGACAGTATTTGACAAAAGGTATCCGTAATTTTGTAACTCTCTCTTGCAAGAGATAGCCGAACGTTAACGGTCTTGGAGTCGACACTAAATGATCGGTGGTACGATCCAGAGCTGGTTTATTTTATTTTATTGTTTTTTTTCTTTTATTAAGCTAATATTTATTTTTCGCAACAATTAAGTATAGAGTTTAAATTTTCCCAGTATTTTACAGTACCTTGTCATTGTAGGTTTCACTTCTATCGAATGTGAACAGCACATGTCCATTTTTTTCCATAGTAACGTATATTTTGTATACCATCCAAAAAAAGAGATTCCAAAGAACAGAAAGCGTATAAAAGTCATTTAAAAATAAACTTTTTGACTGGTGATTTTCGATTGAAATTAGGTTACTTTTTCGTAACAATAACAATGTAAAGGTAAAAATAAATATTACGAATCAGCGTGTTTGAAATATAAAAAGGTTCAGCAGATTTAGATGAAAATATAAGTTTTTTGATGGAGATATTTTAGGGTTATGTGAAATAGGTGTAAATGCAAAAGTTGTTGATCTTTTGATTAACTAAAATTTGCAATTGGAATTTTTCGATAGAAGTTTTAGTTTTCCCGTAAATTACGATAAACTGCTCCCCCCCCCCCCCCTCCATTAAAAGGTCACCCCCCGTTCATTTAATTTTCCTATTTTTTAAGTGTTCTCTTTCTTTTGGTATGGATTTCATACTGTTTCGAATTTTCTCTCCAAAATACTGGCCATGGTCAATTGTATTGCTATTACTTACGTATGAAAATTCAAATTACAAATATGTGTAATGTGAATACAGGTGAACGTTGATGCTTAAGTCCATGGCTGAGTGGTTTCTACGCCGGGTTTCATGGTGTCGCTGACTCGAGAGGTCCCGGGTTCGAATCCCGGTGGGGGCACATGTTTGTGCGATGAATACGAGCATTTGTACTCCAGGCATGGATGTTGAATATGTATTTCTATATAAATATACTTATATATGTACAGTATTATGTATTCTATCCGTTACCCTAGCATCACATAACACAAGCCTTACAGTGCTTACTTTGGAGCTAGGCTAATTGGTGTGAGTTTTGCAAATATTTTTAAAAAATGGTAGCAAATAATCCTTCGGGTTTAGGCTGGTGAAGAAGTTAGTGTTCTAATATTGCACCAATTTTAACCGACTTCAAAAAGGGGGAGGTTCTCAAATCGAAAGAGAATTTGACGAGATTTATAAATAGAAATAAAGGGAAATAGATTCAATTGAAATTAAGCTACGGTCACTCAACTGGGCGAAAGTCTCAGTCAATAGCCGATGTAGTCTTTGTTTACAATAATCCTTGTCATTACAATACAAACAGCGAAGCAACGAACTCAGTTCACTTAATTATAGGATAAGGAACTTATCCGCAATTACATTAAAAATAGTTCATCATTGTAATATATAGCAGCATTTTCCTGTAATTAATCCGGAGTGTTTAAACATTATTATTGCAAAAACAAAGTAGCTTTATCTTAAAATTCTACAACACAAGTTTTACACATAAATTATGATGTCTTCAACATTAACTATTAAAACAAGAATTTTACTAATTTTATTAAAAACATGTTTTAATAGAGCAACAATATTCTGACTAATTTCAGAGTGTCAAGTTTAGATCAATTATTTCATCGTTCAATAGTGTAATCATTGACCTAGAATAGTGGTATAATAATTAGTCCAATAGTAGCTGAATCACACAAAGTAACCCAATTTATGAACAACACATACAACATTAAGGATTCTGTAAAAGAACATTTCATAAACAAGAAAAAAAAGAACAATTGAAAATCTTAAAATTAAAATCAACTAGCAAACCAGTGAACCAAATGTTCACCAAAACCTGATTAAAAAAAATGTATTTAATTAATTGAGAACTTCGGAGATTTTGTGTGGTTTCGTTTGAAATTCGTGATTTCTCGAAAACCGGACTCAAATCCGGTTTGTAGTCTTATCAGACTATTCTTAACTTATAACTTAAATATTCTCTTTATCTATCTCTTACGGTTTGGCCGCTGAAACAGCACCACAGACAGACGGACGGACTTGTCTAATAGATAAGAGATATTGCAGCCTCGAAAAAACACAGTCCGTGTGAGAGCACAAAGTTCCAAATAAACAACTTTTTCTTATACATCACATTGAATATCTTAATAATGGTAAAGTCAAGATAATTAAGTAAGTTTTCAAATATCTGCAATAAAATTTACCGAATTTTCTTGATACAATTATTTATAGATGTAGAGCAGTTTAAATATACTTAAATTTTACAGAATGCTTCCCTTTTCAGAAAATATCAAAAAGTTAAATAAATATTAATCCAACCGCGTTTAAATGCTAAAATTTATTTTCCACCAACAACATGCTCTCTTCCCATAATTGGTCGACAATTTCTTCCTTTTTGGTTATTCTTGCTGGATCAGATATTTCGCAATCCGAGAAATACTTGCCCGTCACTTTGGCTAGTTCAGGTGCTACGCACAGATGTATGGAGGTCTGTGCACCTTCTTCTGGTGTCTTGAACATTAAACTAATAACTGATAACAGAAAATCTTTCATACGCTTCGGTAGTCTATGGAAAATGTCAGTTTTCACAATACCTGGATGTAAACAGTTCGCCGTAACACCTTCGGGCAATCGCTTCGCCAAAGCTTTTGTCCACATAACATCGTAAACTTTAGTATTACAATACTTCTTCCAAATACCAAGTTTTCTTTTACCAACTATATCGTTTATGTTAAAGCTGTGCAGTTTATGTGCATAGGACGAGACTATTACGATACGACTAGGCTGTGAACGAATCAATTTTTCTAGAAGCAAGTTGGTAAGAAGAAACGGTCCCAAGTAATTGATTTGTGTTACTGGGTCGATGCCGTATTCATTCAAGTCCTCTTTCAGGCCTGCCGCTCCAGAGTTGTTGACGAGGAAGTCCAGTCTGTCAAACGCTTTGTTAAAATCTTCAGCGAATTTCCTAATACTCCAGAATTTCGACAAGTCTAGATGTCTGTATTCGACTTTGGGGTTTCCAGTTGTTCTTATTATGTCAGATACTGCTTGTTTGGATCTTTCTTCGTTTCTGCTGGCTATGATGACATGAGCTCCTCTTTTCGCTAAGCCCCTGGCGGTTTCCAGTCCAATGCCGATGTTACCACCTGTTATGAGGGCGACTTTGCCGTTTAGTTTTGTCTTGCATTTACATCTCGCTTTGAAAGGTTCGACCCACAGTCTTACGCCGATGACGGTAACGATCAGAAAAAACACAGTGTAGATAAGAGTTTTAATTATGTATTCTATGATAATGTACACAACCATTGTGGCCGGTGCGTGGATGTGACTGATTGTGACCCTTGTGTCGATGTCACATATTACGTGGACATAACGTTACATAATAATTGGGTTAATGTTTTACATGAACTTGGTTTCAAAACTAACCGGCTTCAGAGCCGGTTTTGCTTGATAAATAGCCTTGTGTATTTTTTTAAATTAAACTTAAACTTGGTCATAAAACCAAGTAATAATTATTGTTACATTTTAAACATTATTTTTACTGAGTATAGAATATTTAAAATTTCTTCCTAGTTGTTTTTCTTTAGATTTATACATCTAGCAGCTTAGTGTAGAAAATAAAAAATAAATAAATTACTACATTTATTGATGTAGGTTTTAAAATTTAGTGATGGGATTTAACTTTTAGCAACGAACATTTTCCTGCAAACATTATCACCTATTAAGAACATTTTGATTAAAATTAATGATGATTATGATTATTTTTATGAATATTTAAAGTTATCTGTAAGTAACTATGAGTAGAATTAGGGAACCTTCATAATTATATATGTCGCTGTATTTTTCTTTATATTTAAGATTTTATCACTATTATTACACTTTTTAACTACTTCATAAAGGAGAAGGTTTATGACCTTCAATGGACTAGTGCCCAATGGGCCCTCAAGATTCGACCTGAAAGCAATAAGTGCTTGTTGGACTTTATTTACATGGCTCATTCGACCTTGGTCTATTCGGTTGGTATATTTATTTATGTATGTACACCGATGACGTCGAGATTTCTTACCCCTAGCACGAACCAAAATCGAATAGTTTGCGAGTGCAAAATGTCATTGTCAAATTTTGTATGAAAACTTGAACAGCAGAGCCATAACGGACATAACGGGTACTAAAAATCAGTACACATTTGACAATGACATTTCGCACTCTCAAAGTTTTCGAATTCCATATTGGTTCTTACGTGATTTTTTTTGTTCAATGCGAAATAGTTGCCATTTGGTGCCACAAAAAAAATATTCAGTTTGGCCTAGTAGTTTTTGTTGTATAAAAATTTTTGCTAAGTTGGACATTGAATTTTCATGATACTTTATTTATTTATGTACTCTGATTACGCAAATATTACTGATTCGATTTGAGCAATTATATTTTTTTTCGCTGGGTGATAAGTACGATACCATATATGGTATCATTTGAGCTCATCTCTTATCTATTAGACAAGTCCGTCCGTCCGTCTGTCTGTGGTGCTGTTTCAGCGGCCAAACCGTAAGAGATAGATAAAGAGAATGTTTAAGTTATAAGTTAAGGATAGTCTGATAAGACTACAAACCGGATTTGAGTAACGTAGCACTTCCGGTTTTCGAGAAATCACGAATTTCAAACGAAACCACACAAAATCTCCGAAGTTCTCAATTAATTAAATATACATTTTTATTTTAAATCAGGTTTTGGTGAACATTTGGTTCACTGGTTTGCTAGTAAAAAGTTAATTTAGTTTGACCCAGTAGTATTTATTAATTTTATGAGCATTTTGGTTTACTTGGACAATGTGATTTCAATGATAATTTGTGTGCGGATTTTTAGGGGTTTTTATATGTTTATGTAGGCGCTTTACACTAAAATGGAAGAAATATTTTTTTTTAACAAAATATAAATACAAAATATGCATTGAAGTGGCACTAAAAAGTAAAAAATAATAATAGTTATTCATTTATTCAGTGAAACACAAAATGGTTACAAAATTTCCACAAAACCAATTATTGTATATCCGATTTCGTGAACCGAATATTTTATTTTAGTTTTTTTCTTAGTTCCATTTTCGATTTCGAATTCGGCTTTTATTTTTTGTTTGATTTGATATAATAATAATTGTATCCCATTTCGAGTGCTTTAATAAATATAAAAGCTTTATAATTGTTCCAAGCAAATCAACAATTGGACATAACGTACGATTTCTTTCTATATAAACATTTTGATATTCATGAAATTCAAAAAGAATGGGAACTCATTGTATATAATCTTTTCGTATTAACATATTGTTTAAAATTACATTAATGGAATCAACATAAGTAACCGTGCTTCGTAATAGGTAGAATACAAAGTGTAGTATTTTTTGGTAAAATTAAATTTTACTTAAGAATTACTTGACATACTACTTATAGAGTATGACTCGCGTTGCCCACCCTAAAGTAGGGGTGGGGTGTCCACTCTGAAAAAACATCGATGTATTTTTTGATTCGATACATCGAAACTATACATCGATGTCTTTCGATGTATCGGATTAAAACATCGAGTACTTTTTCTGAAATTTTATTACAAAACTCAACTTATGTGGAAAGTGACTCATCTCATAAGAGGCCATCTTTTCACAGTAAACAATGTTACTATTGAAGTTTATGAAAGGACCTTAATCTATAATTTTATTATAGTTTAGATATTAATCTTTCATAAAATAATAGAATTAACTCCTTTCATAATGAGTAGGTAAAAGTAAATACAAGTAAAAGCCATGCATCAGAAAAATCTGTATTATAATTTACAAAAGATCAAATTGAAAATACTAAATAACCCGCAAAATTTTTGCTAAGTCTGTCAAAAGAATATTACAAATATACTTCAATCTTAGTTTAATTCACAAAACCAAAGGTTATTAAATGTTTATAAACATAGAAACTCGTAGATATTTTTTATTGTCACTGCATTGACTCTTGTGCAGTGTTGCCAATATGGGGTCCATATCGGAATAATAAGCTTTCGTAATATTAATAAGTAAATTTTAGTGATCAAACTTAAGTATTTTATCACTACGTGATCAAACTCTATTACCAATTCGATGTTTTTTTAAAACATCGATTATATTGAAAGCATTTCAAAACATCAGATCGATTCTATGTTTTTCATTGCAAACATCGATGTTTTCAATGTATGATGTATATCGAATATCCCTACCCTAAAGCCTATACATGTTGACCAAGCGCAGGTCAATAGCAACGTATAGATAGTATATTTGTGTTGCCTTCTGATAGCTTGATGCCTCTTGCCTAATTTGCCGAATAAAGAGGGAAACCCTATACGATGCAGACAACACCAACAAAAGTTGTGGTCTTCTGCTTCTGTAAGGTAGAAAGAAGCACAGAACACAGAAAAAGCTTAGAAGGGTGCTCATATATTGTTTATACGGGAACCGATGTCGCCGGCTCGTCCCACTACACGGCCTGTAATCTTCTGTAAGATGGAGATGCTCCTCGTGTTCCCGCTCACGTGTTGCCTCCCTCTTACAACCTGGGATCCTTTAAAAGAGGCGTGAAGAAGCAACATGCAGGCCGGCAGGGTGAGGATGGCTGGTGTGGCAGGTAGAACTGCTGTATCAGCTATCTTCGCGTCTGGACTCCAACTTCACTTAACATCAGGTGGGGTGGAGTCTTTTGTCGGACCTATTTATATAAAAAAAATCCGCTATATTCTTACCTACCTTGAAAGAACCTATTGACTGTATTTTTAGCTTTCCCCTTCACGCTGTACTGGGCACGATAGAACAATACGAAAGAATGTTATTATTAGAATTTTAGTGTTTGGTTTAGCCAATTTTCACTATTGTTTTCGTATAACAACTTGAACCTGACCTTCTTAAGTTTAAACATTTGACTTTTAACTACAACTTTAATTTTGTAAGAGAAACATGGAGACTTTTTGGCGGGATCGGAAAGCGTCACTTTAGCAGTTTTGGTTTCCTTGTTAAAAATTGTGTTGTGGCGGATGTTAGTGTCTAATAATGGTGGATTTGTGCATGTTCCCGAACACTTAGTGGTTAATAACTAAGTGTTCGGGAACATGCACAAAGTGTTGGCAAGTGAAACAAAATAGCGGAAAGTGTCTTTCGATGTTCCCACAACAAGTCCACGGGGAGGTTCCAGTAAATCCCCACACAGTTACTGAAACATAGGGAAAGGGGGATTGACTTGACTGCCACTTACTTTGACTTGATTTATTACTTTGACCACGAGTGCTATAGAATTTGTAAACATTTTAACACTTGACATTGGCTAAATGCACAAGCCGTGCGAAGCCATTTAGGAAAAATACAAAAGAGAAACATGTTTAACAGGTTAAAGGTAAAATAAACAAAATAAGTAGGTAATAATTTTGTATACGATTCAATGTCAACAAAAACTTGAATGTTACTATACTTTTGGACACATGTTTCGGCCCTCTTATTGTTATAAGTTTCAACGGTCTGTAGCAAAAATGTATTATGTTTATCGTTGAGCAATAATTTTAAAAACAGATGAAAAGACGGTTAATAGATCAGCTTTAAACTGCGTAGGTAATAACTTTTTGCTCAATGTAACATTTATTTTTAGCTAGGTACCGACAAAACTAAAAATACTGTGGTGGTTCGAAAAAGACGTGTATTATGTTATTGTGACCTTGCAATTAAAATATGATATATTTTATATGAATATAGAATAGAATAGAATAATTTAGAATAGAATAATTATTTATTTGCGTTTGAACAGGGTAATCAAGGTCATAAATAGTTACACATAACTATACTGTAGGTTTTACCTATTCAGCTATAGACCGTAGCATGCAAATTTACATAAGTTTTTTTCAAATTAATTAATACTATGTCACTTAATTTAATAAAAATTACTTGACAGGTCACAAAATAAAAATTCGATTAAAATCAGGTCATATTAAAATGTGAATCAAAAATATAACTAAATCAGTATATGTCACTCAAAATCTCATCCACCAAAATTACTATTATTTATATATTAGCGATTATAATTCAAGAATTCCTGGACCGAGTAGAATTTACGTTCAATGAGCCATCTATGTAGTGTTATTTTAAATCTATTGAAAGGCAAATCTCTTATTGAATGTGGAATATTATTAAAAATTTGAATGCACATATAGTAACAGTTCTTCTAACGTGTGCTTTTCGGGATTGTATCAATGACTAACCTTTTACAATGTCTTTTATTTGTAGGAAATATCTCACGGGCAGTTTTAAAGTAATTTTGATTTAACTTTACGAACTTAGATATCTCCAGGATATAGAGGATAATATGCCCTATTTAAAACACCACTATAGGACATAAGCCTAGGTTTGCACACACTACAACAGCTCTGTGCTTTCCGCATCCAGTGGGACATAGATATAAACACATCCTACACATGTTCATAAAGTTAAAATTGTTTATCGATTATTTCATTGTTCAATTAGTGTAATTAAGGAATTTTATTTGATATTTCGGATGATAAGTGTTATTCTTAAATGTCTTTAGATTTTTCTATAACAACTATTTCACAAACTTAACATTGAATTTATTAATAATGCTTAAAAAATAATTTTATGATACCTAAGTCTTCAAATATCTTCAATATAACTACCGAATTTTATTAATACTATTATTTGTGTAATTACATAATATATCTACTTAAAATTAAATAGAATGTTTGTTGAATGCTCCGCGTTAAAATGCTAAAATTTATTTTCCACCAATAACATGCTCTCTTTCCATAATTGGTCGACTATTTCTTCCTTCTTGGTTATTCTTGCTGGATCAGATATTTTGCAATCCGAGAAATATTCGCCCGTCACTTTGGCTAGTTCAGGTGCTACGCACAGATGTATGGAGGTCTGTGCACCTTCTTCTGGTGTCTTGAACATGAAACTAATTATTGATAACAGTAAATCTTTCATATGCTTCGGTAGTCTATTAAAAATGTCAGTTTTCACAATACCTGGATGTAAACAGTTCGCCGTAACGCCTTCAGGCAATCGTTTCGCCAAAGCTTTAGTCCACATAACATCGTACACTTTTGTATTACTATATTTAATGTAAACACCTAGTTTTCTATTACCAACTATATCGTTTATATCAAATCTGTGCAGTTTTTGCGCATAGGACGAGACTATTACGATACGACTAGGCTTTGAATGTAACATTTTTTCTAGGAGCAAGTTGGTGAGAAGAAACGGTCCCAGGTAATTGGTTTGTGTAACTGTGTCTATGCCATATTCATTCAGGTCCTCCTTCAGGCCTAACGCACCAGAGTTGTTGACGAGGAAGTCCAGTCTGTCGAACGCTTTGTTAAAATCTTCAGCAAATTTCCTAATACTCCAGAATTTCGATAAGTCTAGATGTCTGTATTCGACTTTGGGGTTTCCAGTTGTTCTTATGATGTCAGTCACTGCTTGTTTGGATCTCTGTTCGTTTCTGCTGGCTATTATAACTTGGGCTCCTCTTTTCGCTAAGCCTCTGGCGGTTTCCAGTCCAATGCCGGTGTTGCCACCTGTGATGAGGGCGACTTTGCCGTTTAGTTTTGTCTTGCATTTACATTTCGCTTTGATCGGTTCCACCCACAGTCTAACGCCGATAACGGTAACGATCAGAAATATCACACTGCAGATAATGGATATAAATATATATTCTACGATAATGTACACAACCATTATGGGCAGTGAGTGAATGTGACTACTGCTATGTTCAACTTAGTTGTGTAGCCGGTTTAGCTTGTGTTGTTTACCTCGTGGAATTTGAGGGTCAAACGTAATTTAGACATATTAATGAATATTGCTATTACCATTTTGAATTTAAATAGGTAAAACTAATGTGTGAGCATTTTAATAGATAAGAATTTCTCTTAGGTGTTAGGCTGGATTTCTTCGTAGTAACATTTTATTTAGATTTAATTCATTTTTTAAATTACGGCGGTTCTGTGCAAAAAAAATATATGGTTAATTATTTCAGTAACTGATTTAGTTACTAAAATGAAGAAAGAAGGCCAAAGAAACTTTTGACTAAAAATTAAATTAACGATGTTTTGTTATGTAATATTTAATGTAATCGTTTTATGTGATCAAAATTAGGGAACATTCTTATCTATTTACTAGCGGCCGCCCGCGACTTCGTACGCGTGGAGTTAGTTATTTGCACATACTTTTTGACCCCAAAAGGGGGTTTATTTCTAAAGATACATTATTAGTACACCTCTACACCATCTATAGAGCATACATGTTAAATTTCAAGTATTGAAGTAAGAGTACTTCAAAAACATGGGACTTTCATACAAACCTCCAACCCCCGTATTACCCCATTAGGGGTGGAGTTTCGTGATAATATGTAGCCTATATGTTGACCCGACTTCTTAATTATATTCGTGTCAAATTTGAATTAAATCCATGCAGTACTTTCTGAGTTTATCCCGGACATACATACAGACAAACAGACGAAAATTCTAAAAACTATATTTTTGGCTTCGGTATCGATTGTAATACACACCACAAGTATTCTTTTAAAAATAAATTCAATGTACAGTTTTCACTTTCCTACAATTTTATTATATGTATAGATGTTGCTATATTTTTCTTTATTGATGAAACATAGTTAGTGTGTGGTTTACCAATTGAACACACAGTTGTTTTGAAACTGAAACCGGTTTGAGTTGATTTTTAACACGCTTTTATTAGGTCGACTTGTTTGTAATTAACAAATAAAATTATAACTAACTATGTAATGAAATCTAAGAATTCTTTATTACACGCACTTCTAATTCTTGTGTCATCATGTAACTTGGCAATTATATGTAGATTAGATGCCAATACAATATTATGGTACCATCGAGCTGGTCTGATGATGGGACTGGAAGGTAGCTGATGGAACCTTGGACTGCCTACTAGTAAACATATCGAGTTTGAGCTCACGAGATTCGTCTTAAACTAATAAAACTTTGCTATTTTTAGTTTTTACGTGCATTTATTAAAGCGTGTTTTTCTAGTTTTTATTAAACTATAAAGTATTACAGAATAGCACTGCTGACCATCTAAAGTAATGTCATTTGCATTAAAACCACTTACGTTTTTGTAAGGATAATAATATGTTTAAGAGATTATGGCATTAACAAACCCAACAATTATTTTGTATCTTCTCTCGATATATATATTAGACTTTGCCTGCAACTTCATCTGCATAGATGTAGTGATTAAAAATAAATAAATAAATATTTCTAATACTCACACCAATTAGCCTAGCCCCAAAGTAAGCACTAAAGGCTTGTATTTTGGGATACCAGGGTAACGGATAAAATACATAATACATATATGTACATGATACATATATAAGTATATTTATATAGAAATACATATCAAACATCCATGACTGTGAGTATAAATGCTCGTATTTATCACACAAACATCTGCCCCCACCGGGATTCGAACCCGGGACCGAAAGATGAGGTAACTCGTCCGAATAGACCTCTAGACCGATAGCACTAACCAATACAATTTCCAAAAAATTCTTTAGCATGGTACAAACAATAATGACAAAATTTAAAATCATCAATAGGTATTTCAGGCCCAACCATCAAAAAGTTTTTTCAATGAATTTGGAAATACAAAGTGAGTGGTTAACCATAGGTGTGTTCTGCATTCCATTAGCTCTGAAGTGGCGCATTTTACTACTGCTCTACTAAAATTATATCTCAATGCCTTCCAAATGACCTTCCCAGACCAGAGTAATCTATTAAGATGGAGGATAGCCTTTGAAAAATCGTGTTATTGTCGCCGCACACGGGCCACCGACCACACCCACAAAACGCCGCCACCGGCATATTTCTTGTAGTTTTCATACATTTTATATGGACTCGCCATAAACGGTACGCCGGTGGCCGCCACACGCTACAAATCGTCGTTGCTCGCATCTTGTGGCCCGCACCGCAACTTAATGCGTCGATACAAAACTCCGCCACACGTCACTCGCGTGATTCCCCACCCCTCTCTCCCTTATCTTAGTCGGCCGCTGTCGCGCGCTTTAGCCACTTTAGTAGCCGCTTCTAGCTTCTCGTGGCGGCGTTTGTGGCTGTGGCGTGTGGCCCGTGTGCGGCGACACTTATACTTGTGGTGAGGCAACGGGTACTGCTAGGCACATATCTTGTCCCCCCCTCCCTCTAAAAGCTAATTAAACTATTGACTTGAAAATCTGGAAAAAATCATGATAAAAGCCTTAAAAGAATTCGCTTTCCATGTAATTTTATTGTAAATGTACGGAACTCTGCACTGTGTGTGGTACGACACGCACTTGGCCGGTTTTCCTTATTATACCTATAAATTATATTGGGTTTATTTAAAATGCTTGTGCCTTATCTCATTTGGGTTTTGCTTACAAGGAAAAGAACTGGAAGGTAGTGAAGGTGATCTGTGTTTTAATGCTTCATTACCCCATATGACGGAGCCAACGAAAGCTTAGCACTTGGTCGGTACATACAGCTACTACATATTTATGAGTGGCCCTCCGAATGGATGCCACGAGAAAAGGTTTCCTTCTACATATTATTATTTAAATAGAATTCGTACGGCGGAAAACGTCACAAATTCACACAGACACACCTATTTTATTTATTTGTATAAAATAACAAATAGTAAGATATTTATAACTAAAAAATGGGTGCGTGTACTTATGTAGGCGCGTGAGAAGTTATCCTTCTTTGGCATCGTTTAAAATTAGTTTTTAATTGCATGCAAATAATTAATTACAATAAATTAATAAAAAGTCTGGAAAAGGACACAGTCAATAAAGTTCAGTTTTAATTTGAAAAAATAAATAAATAATCAAAATATTCAATTAAAATCGCTACTGAATATAATTTATTAGAACATATGTGATTTGCACTTGTATGAAACTCAAACACTTATTCCGAATATACAAACTAGGAACATGTGGATAAATATTATAAATATGAATACCTATAACTGTTACTTTATTACAAAAAATAAAGATGTGGTTTTTGGTTCTACTACACCAATGGTCAAGAGATGGCGCTGTAGTCTCCTGAATCGCGCTTTGGTTCCGTTGTTCCAGATTAATAAATACTTTTGATAGGCCCTCACAATGCAGTCGTTAGCACCCACTAAATAGAGATTCTATTTCTATTTTGTTGGTAGATTTTCTTAATGTGCGGTAAACACAAAAGTAACGCATGAAGTTGGTCGCTAAAGCGACCAACTTCATGCTGTTAAAATTTTGTGTTACAGTGATGCGCGCGCATCTTAAAATTTCACTCTCATCATTTTTTCATAACGCGCCTAAAGAAGTATAACTTCAAAAACCTTAAAATATATAATAACTAGAATACATTATTAAAAGGAGTCCCTTTAGGCAAGGTTCCAAAGATACTGTCAGCGTTCCCCCTTTGAATAGCTAGACTAATTCTATGTCCGAGGTAGCTGCCAGCTCTTCGGTCTCCTGTGATGTCGACCAACCTTTTTGCTATTTCCTTAAAAAGCCTCACAGCGCCAGGACCCCACGGACCAAGGGTCTCGACACCGAATGGGACAAAATCATATTCGGAGCCTAGATCCCCTTTTGTATAAAAGAGTCCGACAAGTGACTGAACCAAACCTGATGACGGTAGAATCCAGAAAATAACCGGTACAGCAGTTTTACATGCCACACCAGCCATCCTCATCTTGCCGGCTTGCAAAGTGCTACTTTACGCCACTTTCAAAGGTTGCAAGAATTATTGTACACACGTTTCTTCTGAATTCTGCATGTTTACTACACTATTTGGACAATAACAAACTATTTTATGTCGACTCAATAGAGCACATTCTCATTGTCACGAGAATACTTAAAGACGAAAGGTTAAAACAATTTTGTTTCAAAAGCTTGTCGTGAAACTTTTTTCATGTTTATTAATGGAACCTATTTTATAGTCAAGTAATGCCAAATATATATATATATATATATATATATTAACAAGATAGTTTTATAAAATATTTTGAACGCAATGTAAAGTCAAATATTTATAGACTCGACATGCAATACAAGATACAAAATGATTGCTGGGTTTGTTAATGCCATAATCTCTTAAACATATTATCTTTACAAGAACGTAAGTGGTTTTAAAGCAAATGTCATTACTTTAGATGGTCAGCAGTGCTATTCTGTAAAAATATTTACTTTAAAAAAAACTAGAAAAACACGCTGTAATAAATGCACGTAAAGACTAAAAATAGCAAAGTTTTATTGGGTTAAGGCGAATCTCATGAGCCCAAACTCGATATGTTTACTAGTAGGCAGTCCAAGGTTCCATCAACCACCTTCCAGTCCCATCATCAGACCAGCTCGATGGTTGAGCACATTTTCATTGTCACATCAATACTTAAAGACGAAAGGTTAAAACAATTTTATTTCAAAAGCTTGTCGTGAAACTTTTTTCATATTTATTAATGGAACCTATTTTATAACCAAGTAGTGTCAAAGTACAAGTAAAGTAAGTTAGCCAAGTAGTAATGTGTAGTTGTCAGATTGTTGTCATTGTTTTGACGTAACTGAAACTTTTGTTTGTATTCGACGACCTCCGCGGCCGAATGGAACGTACGTGTACTCAGTGGTTTCGGGGTTCGAATCCCGGCTAGGCACATGTTTATGTGATGAATACGAGCATTTGTACCTAAGTCGTAGATGTTTATATGTATTTCTTAACTTTAAATTGTGGCCTTATAAGTTAGGTCACTGGCGCGTCACA